CTTAAAGGGTGAGCTCGGGGGTCCATTTCAGAGAAAGGACAGTGGGCATAAAGTCAAGATTTACAGTTCATGCATATATCCAAGAACACTTTCAATTAGCAATACTTCCATCTGAATTAAGTACTCAGTGTGAACTACTCCAATCATGTCCCCTGCACGTTTACATTAAGACTGAAAGAAGTCCTTCCTGCAAACAGGAATTGCAGGAACGCTCCAGTAAGCGCTGAACCAGCTCTGTCCCATTCTGTCACAAAACAGCAATGAGCTCAAGCAGCAGCCATCTGACAGCATCAAGGAAGGAGGTGTTTTTCAGTGCAGTCACTTAATGAACCCTTAGCTTTCTCCACTCACTACCAGAGCTTCACTGTGAAAGTGACACAGAACCAGTTTAACACTTCTTGTAAGTCACCCTGATGATGTCCACGTGGATGGCGGTTTCTCTGGTTCCACCAGTTACTGTGAACAGGCATGGTCTGTCCAAGCAGGAAGGATTCTTCTGACACTAGGAATCTGGAGGTCTGCTCTGGCCTGGGAGGTCCATGCACACACAAACAGGATGACTCAAGCGGAAGTATTAGAAGCACAAGTGCTTCCATTTGTGCCAAATAACTCTGCAGTGCTGCATTTTCTCATCCAAGGAGCAGGATGCGTCTGTATGGTGGGCAGAAGACTTGATGGGGGGGAAGGCTTCCTGAACTGGACACAACCCCAGAAAGCAGTCATGGTCTCTGGAGGGCAATCAACTTGCGTGGCAAGAAATTACACTAGCCTGTTAGTAGCATCAGTCTGAGAGCTCGCAATGTGGCTAGCAAATGAGGAGAGAGGCAAGGTGATACTACCAGCTCCCACATACAAATCCAACATGATGCGTGGGTCTTAACATGAAGGGTATGTTCAGAGCTCAAAGTTTATTTCAAGGCTTTGGTATTGACATGGCTACAAGCAGATTTTTCCTATCAAGAGTGAAGAGGAAGATTTTCTTCTTCTAACTTTCCTTTACTGCTGTGGTAACTTCCACCTCAGAAGCCGGTACTGAGGAGCAAGACCTGCAAGCCCACGGCAACCACAAATGGCAAGGAGACTCCTACGGTCACGCCGTAGAAGGAACTTGAGTAGTTGGTCCTAGATAGTGTCCTCAGTGCACTTGGCTTTTAATTGCTAAAAGCGTTTTCTTCTAAAACCAGCAAATGCCTCAACATTATGCAGTTGACTGCTGGGAATCAAGGCTAGATCAGTGTCTTTCTTAAGGATACACTTTTGGAGTTCTATCTCCTCGTCTTTCTGATTTGAAGAACCAGCAAATGCCAAGAAACACACAAATAAGTGTTTCAAAGCAACAAAAAGGGACTGAGCTTGCTACAGGAATCTGCAGACAGCAGATCTATCATACAGAAAATTACCTACACAAAATTTTAAGAGAAGTTTTTATAGGATTTACTGAGTGATAAAAGAGACCGACGAATGATCAACATTAAAAACACCAAATAGCAAATCTGTGGATAAGAGACTAACGAGTAGTTTGGAAGTGAAGGAAAGCAATATACTGTCAGAGTGCTGGCTATGGAGTACTGCACCTCACCTGCTAGGAGAGAGCAGAGATGGCAGTGGGTATTGTCCACCACATATATCTGTATTCAGGAGATGGAAGCATGGAACACAAGCCAGAGTGCTGCGAAAGAGTGGATCCTCTCTTCAGCTCCCTTTCGCCAGCCTAGCACCATTATTCATGGATGATGCAAAACCTAAAGTGTTCCACATGCAAAGCAATACACGTTCCGAGGACAAACTCCTGCACGAAGAGAACAGAGATGCCTACTCTGCTCCTCACATAACACAGCTTCTCTAGCACTGAACACTATTAAAAGTTTGTTTCCAAGTTATTAAGATCTTTTCCTTTAGAAGACCATGGCTAAGCAGTATGGACAAGAGCTTTTCCCAGCTGTTTGTTAGGCTGCTGCTCCACTTCAGATCAGGTGGGAGAGAAGTGAGCATGCCTGGGCAAGAGAAACCTTCAGAGTGCAGGGCAGGCAAAGTGAAGGTGAGCACAGCAAACAGCAAGCCCAGAGACTGGGAAATGGCTATGAAAGCAGCAAGCAGATACACAGCCTGCCTCTCGGGTGACAGTCACAGACCTTTCCTGCAGTGAAAGAGAAGACTAAGAGAGAAAAAATGACTGAAAGGTTAAGAAAACAAGCTTTCCTCAAAGTAAGGACACAACAGATAGAGATTTTTCATAAAGCCTTTTATTGCTGGTCTCTAGAATAAAATACAAGGTGTCTATTTTAAGTAGCTGCAGTTCTACTTGCTCTAATTAAACCTGGCCTTCCAGTTTCAAAGCCTTCTTCCTCTCTTGAGGAGGTCCACAGCAAGGCATGCCTAAGACATCCTCGTCTCCCAGTCACCGTTTTCCTCTCTTCTGATCAAAATCTGTTAATAAAGAAATCCAAAGGACAGAAAAAGAAATAGAGAAACAAGGAAGAACACAACAGAACACTCGAGATGTAGTTTAATAAGAGATCAGGGAGGAAAAAATGCAAAAGACATGCTGCTCCAATTTAAGTCACGAGAACAGAGGAGAAACTATTTCCTTTGCTTCCAAAAAGTAATATTCTCTCAACTCCATCTGCTGGTCACAAGGATAACTATGAAACCAAGTGGTGTCAGGAAGCCAAACTTCACACATTGTACTCCTAATCCACGTAGAAATACTGGATTTACTGGTATGTCCACAAAGCAACCATCCATCACCACCCTTGGAGCACGCAGCACTGTAGACACTGCAAAGCTTCAGCACATTTGAGGGGTTCCTCCCACCGACAGCACATCCCGGAGTCCGGGCACTCTGGAAACAGGAGGCTCCTGACTCCCGCAGAGTCTGCGCACTGTGCTGAGCACCACAGTGCAGAGCACGGCTCACGTCCACAGCCCAGAGATTTTGCATGATCTCACCGCAGCAGAGCACTGCCAATCCTGCATCGAACAACTTAAATCACACTGAGTCTCAATAGTGTCACCAAAACTTCCAACAACGTCAGAAGCAACTTCTTTCTTTTGGAAACAAGTCATTCACTCACCATTTCAAGCTTCTCATTCTGTCAGGAAACCTGACTGGATTCTACAGCAGTCATACAAAGCAACAGCTAATGTGCTGTTCAGATCCATAGTCAAGAAAACAAAAACAAATACAAAAATCAATCCATCTGTCTGGCACTGAAAATTAATACCTTAATGCTGACCTTTTAATCATTTTAATGCCGTAATGTTTGTTACTTCTTTCCTAATTAAAGAGATTAAATCGAATGCGCTTCTCAAGGTCTAGTGTAAGGTCACGCTTGGCACAGGGGCTGGAAGATGCACTGAACTAATGCTTCTCAGAACAGCTTCATTTCGGAGGCGGGGAGGAAGAGAGAGTGTGCTGTTCTTAGGAGAGCAGCAGCTTGAATTTGGTTTAAAAGAAAAAAACCCACTGCTGCAGCAAGAGGTTTATCCTGGCTGCCAGTGTGAGGGTTAAGCCTGGCAGTGGGACAGTTAAGTGTCTGGGACAGGGGTGTTTGGAGGTGTACGATAGTGCTTTAGAATAACACGGGTTGAGAAACATACTCTTGTTTTACTTTTGCAGCACATACGTAAGGTTATAGAGAAAGGCGAAAGACTGAAAAGAGTATTTTAAAAATGCCTTGCTTTTCAGGACCAAGGGGTCTTAAGACAATGGCTGCACCTTTTTATTTCCTCTTCTCTTATTTAGACATTCTTAGTGGCAACCAAGGTGTTTAACGCAATGCTGGAATCTGGCCACATATAACCAATGTTTTCATTCACACGGGTTTATCTTTCACATGGAATAGTACTTTTGGGGTGCTTTAAGATAACAGTACAGAGGGCTGGATACAGGATTCAATCACCTCACAAAAACCTTAGAGGCCTTTTCAAAAAGCTGTAGTTGGTCTTTCACTTGTAGTAGATGGAGTCTGAACTGATCCTCCCCAGGTTCATTTTTGGTAGAAGGTAACACAACACTACCAACCCTGCCTCCTTCAGGAAACAGGAGGGACCGTGTCTCCAGCAGAGCACACATGGGGCCGAATACATTAAATCAAACCACCACCTCCAGGGCCCTAAGCCACCATGGGACGTGGCAAATGGCGAAGGGATCGCGGGAAGGAAGCATGGCGTAAGGGTGCAAACACTGCAACTCTGCTCCAGGGAGCAACTTTTCACAAGCGCCATTTGGGTCCTATTTTAGGACCCAAATGTGATTTTTTTTACCCTTAGATAACGTCTTTACATCTGAAATGTAAAAAAGTAAAGGCTTTCTAGTTAAATTAAAAAATAAGTGATTTGCATCCTATGGAAGGTTGTGCAAGTTTCTATAGTAACTGCTATCAGGTACAAGAGTATGAAATGCAACAAGCTGGAGTCTCCATAGAAACAACACAAGCAGTTTGATTAATACACAGACTGAGACAAATGGAAATAGTTAATTTCACTTCATAAAGAAAACTCTAGTAAACAGAATACTACAAACTTGGGCAAGGTATCTTAATAAGAACTACTCTCACAAGCTTGAGAGCTCCAAGTCATGCACAATACAAACTGTGAAGTATGTGGTGTGTTTATGTATTACGATATGAAAGGTGCTATTTAGTCTCAAGGAAGGTGATGATGTATCCAACACACTGTAATTAATTTAGGAATTTAAACCTACAAACAGCACTTACAGAGAAGACAACTTCATCTGGTTTGAAACTAAATGTACCAGACAAAATAAATGTAGTGCAATTCTTATAGCAAAACACTGACTGCTTAGAAAGTTAAATTACTGCATAGAAACGTACACAAACTCTCTACACACACTGCAGAGCAGTAGTGAGGAACCAGGGAGCAGCTCTGATGTTTAAATGAGAAGCAGTCCAGTAATGCTGCAGAAGCCACAGCTCCCAAGAGTTTAGAAGGCACTATTAAGACGTAAGGAATAAGGGAAATGGGCAGGTCCAACTCACCATATTTGGCACACTGGTGACGGGAGTACTCTTGATGTCGGCAGGAAAGGGAGACAAACTATTCGCCATGCCTGGCTTGTTTGGTAACTGAGGATTCACTCCTGTGGCTCCCATCTGCTGCCCTCCAGTTTGACTGAAAGGCTGCCCAAAGGGACTAGTGTTACCTGCCATTCCCATCTGGAAAAGAATGAATGAAATTATTATAATTTCTGAAGGGATATTAAAAAGAAGAAAACATGTGTCCAATATCCATCTTTGCATTCACAGAGACCAAATTCTGGTTTAACTTTCTCAATATAAAATCTGCAATTTCACAACTTCAATCAAATTTATATTAATATTCACAATAATATTATTAATATCATGATATTATTAATAATATATTATTACTTATATTAATTTTTTTAAAATTGCCAATTTACACCAGCAATGTGTCTGAAGTCTTGCAATTCAACTTACAAAGTCACTGTACAAATGTAACGGAGAAAACAAGATTATCCTTCCCAATTTGCATTGGCAGAAATCACTTTCTCCACCACTCCAAAACCTTTTGAATACCAAACAAACCTCAAATCCTGTTATACTTTGAGCATCCTGTGCACAAAGCACAACTTCGTACATAGACTGGATGGGAAGGGAGGGAAATACATACAGGCGCTCAGCAAATGCTTATCTACTTATGTTTTGGTACTTGAGGAAAAATGTCTGACCAAAAGGACATCTATCTCAGGCTGACATCCCTGACAAATTACAAACTCCTTACAAATAGCAAGCAGAAATACGACCTCCCCTGAATGAGTAAAGACAGCACTGTCCACCCAAAGAGCCATTCTGCCTGAAGAACAGTCTCCCTCCAAAGAGAAGTGGTGAAATGTCTATTAGTTGAGCCAGTGAATATTACACTGGACAAAAGGTCCTGAAAAGACCTTTTAGAAGGAACTTACTTCTTTCAAAGAAGATGACTAAGACTAGGACCCTCAATCGCCCTCCGAATAAAGGGGAAATAAAATGTCAAGGCAACAGATCATGTTTGTGCTCCCCCCCCGCCCCACACTGGGAAGATTTCTAGATTACTTTATCATCTGTCAGAATGTCTTAAATACAAACGCAACCACTGAGTGAGTCTTTATTTGAAATATTAAATCTTATTTTCCCCTTCCTTTGACCTCTCCAGCCTTTCCTCACACAACACATTGGTTTTCCATGGTTCTGGTCTTTTCACTTCCCTTACCAGCAGGGATTTGGGACTATTCCCGCAGAGGGACCACGCACATCAGCTTAGCAATGCGACAGCCTCAGAAGGAGGAATTGCTCTGTGGCTGCTTGTTCATGCTTACAGGAATCAGACTGAACGCCCAGTTGAAGCAGCACTGGTTAAGAGCAGTAAACTGTGTAGGGGCAGAGTCCAACCAGCACCATTAGACCGTGCTCAGCGTACTCTGTACGCCTGGGTTTCAGACAGCTGGCCCGGTCGCACTCAGAGAAGCTGTACATTAGGAAATACTTCCTTAACCTTCATCCTGCAGAGTGGCTGCCGCCAGATTCAGGCCTTTTTCCACTCAACAAAATGTTCTGTCTGTACTGAATCTGACCCACCAGATACACATTGGAAAAGAGAAAAAACAAAAACCAGAAGTTGTTACTTGGCAATGTAAGAAGTTATCAAGTATGCACTGTGCTCCAGAGGAAAGCTGAAAAATTCAAATACCACACAAGACCAAAAAAACTCCGATTGCCTTAAAGCATCAAAAGCATAGTATTAAATACTGCTTTTAAAGAAAAGTTATACTGGCTACTACCACACTGCACAAATATAAGGAATTCTATGTTCTGTATTTCCGTGTTTGCTTTGTTGGACTGTATGTTCAAAGGTATTATTATTATTATTTACTACAACATTGATCTTGGCAGTTTTTCTCTGAATAATTAATAGCGAAGCATTTAATAAACTTATCGACTCATCACAACCCCCTATTTCAGACAGGGTATAAGGAAAGGGTCGTCTGATGTCTACAGCTATTCATCAATACCGTGATGGCCTATCAGATTAATAGTGAAGAAACCTTCTTAAACTAAAAGTGAGATTCTGAGAAAGCAGCTGACTGACCATTTGAACCTTTCAGAGGCCAGCAATAGGAACACCAGCTGTTACTCGGTTTCCCCATGTGTCTAAATCCCCAGCTACAAACTTAATTTGTCTGCAGAAGAGCTTGACCCTTCCAGTCTTCTTTGAACTTGCTTGCAGGTTTAGCAGTTTCTTTTTTCAACTTAATAACACATTGACTATTCTAGCAACCACCGCTGTGCTACAACTTCCTACGAGCCCTGCGACCACCACCACCACCGCTGTGAAAGCAGTGTGGTGAGCCCAAACTGGGAGAGAGAAATGCTGCATACACAGGACCCTATTTCCATGGCCCTACCTGGGCCACACGAGTCTGCAGGAAATGGCGCAATCCAAGTCCTCTCAGACTTCGTGGCTCAAGGCTGGAGCACGCTGCCATGGTTTATACAGCTGCTTGATCACCTGGTGCCTCCTCCCTACCCGGGGATGGCGTGTCAGGAAAAAGAAAGGAGATTCGTGGGTTGAAATAGGTACGTATTTAAAAAAATAATGATAAACGAATATTAATAACAGCTATAATATAAAATACATAGTTGTACTCAGCCAACATTGTGGCGGAGGAGTAGGCCTCTGGGTTAGGACGGTAAACAAGTCCCTCTCAAGCGGTCAGCCATGAAAGAGGGAGCAGGAGGCAGAGGATGAGGCAGTGAAGGAGGAAGAAGGGCCGCCTCCAGCAAACTCCCTGATTTACAGTGAATGTGACTTCGTTTCGTGTTGCAGTCCTTACAAAACTGCCCTTTTCCTCAACAGAACTCTGACTCTAAATTGTGTCCCACTAAAGCAGGACACATGCTCAGCCACCAGAGAGGAGATGGAAAAGCCTCAGTGCAGACAACGCAGCTGCCTAACGCGGGTCTGCTGAGCTTGCGCAATGCAGTGCTGTGAGCCTCCGGCAGAATCTTAAGCACAGCTCCGTTTTCAAAAAGCAGAAGAGATTCTTCTTCAGGCAGTGCAAATGCTAAGCAAATTTTACACTAAATTTAAGGTCTTGCTCCAGAAGAAAGAAGGGTGTTCATCTCATTTAATTATCAGGAGAAACTAATTTTTTTTTATTAAAGGAAAAATGTTTAGAAGTAGATCTCTAGGAAAAATATTATGAAATATTTTGGTCTCGAAAGAACAGAAAATTTCATTTTAAGTCTGTTAAAACTCTATACTACTAGAGCATCCCAAAAGCACTGAGGAACGACAATCCTAACAGGTACCACACGGTTGGTTTCTCCTATTTCAGCATTTTCTTTTCAATAGAACCTGTTATTAAACGTCTCACAACTCGGTATAGCAACAAAGCAACCTTTCAGGTCTTCCAAACTGACTGCTTAATATGAGGAGGATGACTTTCCAGGTGGTTGTTAATTTACAGATACTTCATTGAATTTTTAAGGAATGCCATACTGTTGTTTGAATTCAAGCTGGATGCAGAGTAGCTTCCATTTGAAACCTCGGTTTTTTTAAACTTAGTCTCTGCCACATGGTATTCAACATCTAAAGCTATGAACCAGTAAGTGAAAGGAACCCAAGGCTAACAAGTTACACCAGTCTACAACTTAAAAAAAAAGGCAGATATTTTGATAACATTGTAAAACATTAGACAGGACCTTTAACCTACCCTTCATTTTTGTAAATTACTGCCACTGAAACAAACTGTCACACACTTTGTTTTGTTTGAAGTCCATCCTTTAAAAACAAAGCTAAGCAAAACAAACCCAAACAAAGCAAGCCCCTCCCGAAATCCAAAAAGGTGGAAAGACCTATCTTATGTGGCAATCCCTGAAGTAAATATAGAGACCACAATCGGGAGGGACCATGCACAAGATGAGTTTACTGAAGCTCACAGATGTTTCTAGATTCAGAGGTTAGTTTTTTCAAACTCAGTTTTGCCTCAGAGGAGTTATGCTTACCAACAGGACTGTGATTTCCAGAGACTAGAAGTGCACAACACAACACAGGAACTGCTCTAATGAACTCCTGATCTATTTATAACAGTATTCAACCTAGCCTAGGATGAACGAGGAGTTTTTGCAGCAGAACAACCTGCTGCCAAACTCCATTACGGTCAGCAGCGTCTCAGCACTGGTATCAGCAACCCAAGGAGCAGCTCAGCGTTTATTCCAACAGCAAACGCAGTCAGGTGGGGACTCCAGCAAAGCAAACCACTGCCAGCTCCTCACTGACGGGAAGGCAACAAACAGGAGGTGGAAGAAAAGGAAGAACCAGGTAGATCCCCTGCACACTGAAAACGCCCGAGTGCATACGGCATTGCCTGGCATTTCCTGGTTCGTTATCTCAACGCTGAGAGCAGGCGACCTCCTGTAAAACTTTATCTAAGCCACTGCTAATTGAAAGCTCAAAAAACAACTGGCAAATATAATCAGATGATTGTGCATATACACGGTAAAGATTTTACACTGGTTATTCATTCTGCAAACTGAAACCAGCAGCTCTGAAGCAAATGAGTCAGAAGGCTCAAATGCTGCAGCTCCTGTCTCTGCCCCTGGATTTTTTCCTATGTGAAATGAGGGGGCAGTTGGGGGAAGGCAGATACTCAGAAGACCTTTGTTTTATATTTCTGAAACAGAACTCTGATCCTGACTTAGCTAGTTCAGGGCAAGATTACCAGGTAATTACAAGTCATCAGAGAAGATAAATCAGCAAGAGCATGGGAGTTAGCAGCCTGGTAAGAATGGTCATTTTCATGGGGGACTCCGAGCCAACACAGACTTGTGTCTTGCTTAGTCTGTTAAATTTGCTTTCCTGAAAGCAACAAATGAAAAAGGCAATCCAGTGCGAGGAGTTTCTTCTTCCACCTGCAATGAATGGGCACAGATGTGTATCACACAGCTACTGAAGCTTCAACACACCAGTGTGGTAGCCAGTGCATCTCCATCACAACCAAAGCATAAAGCTTCTCTCCGAAAACCTGGGTTGTGCAGCAGTTCACTTTTTATTTTCCGGTTTTGTCCTATAAGGATGTTCCCTCCTCTGCTGCCTTCTCTATCCACCCGTTCAACTGTCAGCTCACCTCCATCTACCTGATGCAACCACCATTTCT